CGGATATTGAAGATGATGATAGGAGAGGAAGGGAAGATACATGCAACAATTATGCATTCTTGGTTGACCAAGAGTGGTTTAGGAAGAATTTTACGGCATCCGATTTTAGTCACAATATGGACAGCGTTCCAGTGGTGCTAGATTGGAGCTTAGGCGTGGACAATACTGCAGTCGCAGTATTTCACAGATTCATGTCCAATGATTCCAGGGCTTATGATGACCCTAAACCCTACTGCGAAATACTAAATGCCACTTCCACTTACACTCGGCAAAGGCTTGTATGTCACTGCCCGCCAGGCTTCGAGGGAAATCCCTATCTTCGCAACCCTTGTCACGGTAAACAAACCTCTAAAATCTCTCAAAAAATTTCAAGCACATGCACAAATTAATTAACAATTTGTCATCTGTTCAACACTTTAGTTTACCATGCACCAAATTATTGCATTTTAGTCAGCTTTGTTGGTTTGTATTTCGTGATAGTCTTTCACCATGATTTTCATTTGCTTTCTTGTCTCTACAATGCAGACATTGATGAATGCACAGATCAAAACAGATGTGGGCCAGGGACCCCCCATTGTATGAACTATTATGGGACGTATACATGCTACAGACACAGAGTGGGTGGAAAGACAAAGATCAAACTGATTCTTATAGGTATGTTTCAGTCAATTACTTCATATATGAAAGATGACAATGGAACCTTAGAACTGAAATCGGCGATAAAATATACACACTTTAATTTTTTGTAGTCGCACATGATTCGAGTTTATATAATCAACCAAGTTATGTACAACACCAGTTGACAAGAAATCCGTTCTTAAACGACCCTTATCTAGTCTAGTTCAACATGTCAAAAGGACATTTTCAAAATCAAAACAGAGCACAATGAAGTAGTTAAGGCAACTCTGTCACAAAGTAGTCTACAAACTTTTGATATTAGCAATACTTCCTTCCATCATCATTTAGTTAAGTTATGCAGGTCTTGGCGCGGGTGTGGGACTGTTGTTACTGCTGCTTGGTGCATGGTGGGTACATGAAGTCCTAAAGAAAAGAAAGAGAATTAAACGCAAGGAATTTTTTTTCAAACGAAATGGTGGCTTATTGCTAGAACAACAATTATCTTCAGGTGAAGTTAATGTAGAGAAAATTAAGTTGTTCAAGTCAAAGGAGTTAGAGAAGTCCACTGACAATTTCAATACTGATAGAATTCTTGGCCAGGGAGGCCAAGGTACTGTTTACAAAGGCATGCTGGCTGATGGTAGAATTGTAGCTGTAAAAAAATCTAAAATAGTGGATGAAAGCCAACTTTCAGATTTTATCAATGAGGTTGTGATTCTTTCACAAATCAACCACAGAAATGTGGTTCAACTATTGGGTTGTTGTTTGGAGACGGAGGTTCCCATTTTGGTTTATGAATTTATACCTAATGGAAACCTTTCCCAGTATATCCATGGGCAGAATGAGGAGTTTCCACTTACATGGGAGGTTCGCTTACGAATTGCCAAGGAAATTGCAGGAGCTCTTTCCTATTTACATGCTTCAGCTGCCTTTCCCATTTATCACAGAGACATCAAGTCTACCAACATACTCTTGGATGCAAAATACAGAGCAAAAGTTGCTGACTTCGGAACTTCAAGATCAGTTGCCATTGACCAAACTCACCTCACCACACTTGTACACGGCACATTTGGTTACTTGGACCCCGAATACTTTCAATCAAGCCAATTTACGGAGAAAAGTGACGTGTATAGCTTTGGAGTTGTCCTTGTTGAACTCTTGACAGGACAAAAACCAATTTCTTTTAGAAGGTCACAAGAAGAAGGCAAAAGTCTGGCCACATACTTTATCATTTCGATGCAGTTAGATCGCCTGTTTGAAATTCTTGATGCTCAAGTTGTGAAAGGAGGGTCTAAAGAAGATATCATATTAATTGCTAACCTTGCAAGAAGATGTTTGAATTTGAGTGGAAGAAAGCGCCCTACAATGAGAGAGGTCACGGCAGAGCTGGAGGGGATTCAAATGTCAGAAAAAACTTCTAATGGTGGACAAAACTATGAAGAGGTTGAATTTGTTAGGACTGACTCAATTGAGCCTTGGGATGTTGCTTCAAGTTCAACGGGAACACGGCCAAGTTTGGATGGTGGTCCTTCTTCATCATTACATGAAATTCCGCTATTACCTTACAAGTCATGGTGAACATTAATTGTAATATTGTAATGCATGTTCCATTTATGTGTTGCTCCTTTTTTGAACTTTTCCGGTCAGAATGTGAGTGCAGTTTCCTTCCAATCCATAAGGTCATAGGTGAGGTCTGGCTGATTAGCTACACTGCCTGATGGCTATTTCAACACAAATCACAAATCACTGGATATATAAATTCATTTTGACTAGAGCAACAGGGTGTTTTGAAAGTGTTTGAAATTTTTAGTTGGATCAAGAGAAATTGGTTTGGAGAGTATTAGGTCCTTGATAGTGGCAGAGTCAACCACCCTCAATTAATTACAACATATTGCAAATTTTAACTCAATTTAAATACTGTAACTTTGAAAGAGAATAACGTAACAAAATATTATGCAAATATTTCATGCATGATATATCAACCTCATGTCTATTCTTTTTTCTTTTTGTATTTACTGTTCAATAATAACGACATGGTCAACTGCCAATGGGGTCTATATCTCTGTTACCCATCAAGAAACTCTCTTAAGAAGTCCTTATTGCATTAGGTTTATAACTTCTAATCCACAATTAAGATAGGAATCCTTCTAACTCTTATATTAGCCTTAAAACACTAACTTTAATAAAGCTGCAGGTTTAGTTGTAATTGAACTCCTAATTGATATGAAGTCTTAGAATCCTTTGATGATTATAAGACCACACTTTAATGAGATAGACATCTATATGTCTAACAGTCTCCCACTTGGTCTAATGATCATCAAGAACTCAATATCAATTACTGTAAGGCCTATAGAATTCAACTCTAATCAAGTCACTGTCAATCAAAAGAACAAGCATGGAACTATCAAGACTTATTGAACATTTCAATATTTCTAGGTCTTTATGATTACACATACAAGCTCTCAATATCACATGAGACTTCCGTCAATACTAGAACGTAGAATGACCATGACCAAACTTAATTTGTGTTTACAAAGGTCACTTTCATTCATAAGCCCTCCCTTAAGAGATTACCAAGATATCTCCTTAATGATTATGGTGTGAATTCATGTCTTATGTAGTGACTGTAGCTAGCTATATTGCATTATGACATGTAAATGGATTCATTTGTCAAGAATAATAAACATAAAACTAAAGTCACATAATTTATTAAAAGAACTGAACCAAATAGTAGCAAACAAATAATTGAACTGTCTCCAAGAAAATAATGAAATTAAGTGGATAAAAACTTAGTTCCCACTGATTTTGCATATCAAAATTGAACGGTATTAATTAATTAATTATTTGAACAGGGTGTTTGAAAGTGTTAGGTTTTGAATATTTTAGCTGGATGAAGATAAATCGGTTTGGAGAGTATAGTCAATCACCATTAAGTAATTAATTATTTGCCGTTTAAGTCACACTCAAAAAATATTTCTTGTATGAAACTATACTTTAGACCGCATTAGAAGATTTTAGACTATCGCCTTATGCAATGTGTCTTCGGGCTTCGCTTGTGTTGGTTATACAGTAAAAATAAAATGAAGCTCAAACTCTGTTTCTTCAAGTGGGTTAAGGAGCAAGCAACAAAGAAAAACTCTGTTTCGCTTGTTTTGCATAATGTAGCAAAGTATTTGTTCCATGGTCCATGCCTTTGATTCATTCTAGTATAATATAACCACTCGTGTGAAGTTTTCTGTTTCGTT